TAATTTTGCTGCTATCTAAACTACAAAAAATGATAAACTAATAACAGTTAAGATGTTAGGGGGGTCAAAGATGTTTTTTAATTTGTGCTTGGCGACGATTTTGCTTTGGGGAGTTTCCTTCTTGGTCTTATTTCTGTTTCTTGTTCCATGTTCGGTTCGATGTTCGGCTTCCTTCCTTCCTTCCTTCCTTCCTTCCTTCCTTCCTTCCTTCCTCCCCTTGTTTTGTTAGACTGGCTGGCTTTTAAGAATATCCCTTTCAAGTCCCGATACAAAGGCCAGGATTGGTTGCCTTATTGTTTCGACGTGCTGATTTACGACCGGGCAATCTATCACGGGATGAATTTATCGAATGGCCCATAATACCTCATTTTGGACGCGGTCCAGATAAAAAAGCAGCGGCTCACCATGTGAGGCTGATTTCAAGGAAGTGGTGCTTCGTCTTTTACAACCCGATCCTAACCACGTTCCTGCTGGAAAACAATATCACTGGTTCCTATAGGACTGACATCCAAAGCGGATATAGGGGAATTGCTTTCAGTTTTCCAGCCACTGGAGAGAGAAAAAAGGGGGGGGAGGGAATAACCTACATTTCTGTGCTCCACTTTCTTTGGAGTAAGTCTCCTTAAAACCAGGAGCACTGGCTTCTGAACAGAGGTATATTCTCTAAGGCTGCAATCCTCTGTGTGTTTTTCTAGCATAAAGCATCGTAGCGCTCAGTAGAATCCCCTTTGAGTAGACGTGTCTAGGGTCGAATTAGCGTGTATCTTGATCGTCGGCTTCCGATATATACTTGGGGGGGGGGGCTGTTTGAAAAGAGAGCCATTAGGGCTTTCGCTTATGAACGGTTTGGGAGATCTAGCCAGAAAGGCAGACATACGCAGAGTCTGGAAGCCTAAAGATTTAATGTAAATCTTCCTTCCTTCCTCCGAGTTAGGGCGATGAAAGCATTCAAGAAGGGGCCCCGAACCTCCGTTGCAGGAAATGTGTCCCACCGCTAGGACTGTGTTACTGTGGTTTTAGGGGGGTGGGTTACAGCGAAGAGAAATGCAAATAATGGATGTAACAACGTGAGCAAACCGAAAGGTGTGTGGTTTTTAGGGACGGCAGACAGAGATTGACGCAGTTACAGTTCTAGCTACAGAATACCTAATGAAAGAGCCGGCCCGAGCGGTCGCCTGAGCAGGGCAGCGATGGGAACGAGGCGGGACATTAGTGTTCACACTCTAATAACCAAGCCGTACTAGGAAGAAAGAGCCGTTGCGCCCTGCCAACAAAAATTAGCGTCATTTATAGCGATCCGGTCCCCGAGTGGATCATAAGGACGCAACATGCCCGAGAAATCTTTCAACGCCCCCCCTCCCACCTCCACCCGTCTGTAGGGATTGTAACGAATTAGAGTTGATTCCTCGCTATCAAAATGATTTGTTAGACGTTACGGAACGTTTCCATTACGCCTTCCTTATATTGTTTCGATTCCTTAAGCCCACAAAAATCCTTCCCAAAGGTGTATTTCGGCAGGAGGATCCCTCCTTTTCCAGATTACTACTGTACCAAATGACAGAAATTCTTCCTATAAAACATTTTACATCTGGCATGATATATATTATCTATAAGAAAGCACTATTTATAGGTGCAAATTTAATTCTTATTATTATTAGCATTATCATAATAATAAAAGGATTAAATTTGCACCCATATATAATGCTTTCTCATAATAGCATATAGATATAGCATTTTTTATGGACAGGATTTAATCCATTCCTCTATTTGTGTATTTTCTCTCTCATGAATAAACACAAACAACACACACACACCTTCACTGGATTCGTGGATTTACACATTTCTCATTAGCAGTTTTAAAATATGAAATATTAAGTTATTTTCAGTAGTAGCTGTTGCTTCTGGAAGGTTTTTATGGCCAATGGTTACACAGTTAATCGTGAATGTTCCCCGCCCTAAAACCAGACTGTGTTTTTTTGCAGTTGTCTGTGTCCTTTAGCAGTGATAAACCTGTTGCGTACTCCTTCAGTACCAAAAATATAGAGACCGTGACTGCAGAGAGACGGATGTTTATTTCAGCCTCATGCTTTAACTGGCTTGGACGAATATCCTAAACACGCGCGATGAAATCCGTTGGGTTTGAAGCAATGGGCGTTTCTTAGGAATAAACATGTAGAAGATCCGGCTGGTAAAAAATTTTACGAATTTTTTACAAGATAGGAACATTTATTTATGATGTGAATACTTTAAGAGACCCAATATCTGTGTCCTTCTGGCCATAACGAAGCCTCGTCTGTTCAGATGTTCTCTATCAGCCACATTGATAAAGAGCGAAACACTCCAGTCCTAAGCTTCCCGGTTCCTCTTGGAAACCCAGGGGTTCGCCTTCCCAAACACGCACAGCCGTAAGTCTTGAAGAGCGGTTCTTAACCAGTGGTAACCTGTAGCTTCAGGGACCCGAGAGCAGGGAGCAAAAGGAAAAAGGAGATAAAAACCCCAGCTGTGTATGTATTGATACCTGTTTTTCTGAAGAGTGGGAGATAGCTTTGGTCAGATGCTCCTAGACGAATCCTCGTAGAGAATGGTAACCCAAAAGGGGTTCAAGAACCACTGGTCTAGAATTGGTTGCCATTGAAAGGGGCTGCCATGTCTTTCTAATATCTGAGAAGGCTGCTGTGTGCTGTGTTTCCAGCCACAGTGGGTCCAGACAGAGCACCCTTTAGGCGAGGGGGGGGGCTCAGGTTTCACTGCAATCAGTTAGGAGGAGGCCGATCTGGATTACGCAGACAGGGTTGCGCAGACAGAGGGAGGGAGAATTGGATGGTGGTGGCCCTGCCTTCTTTCTCCTTCGCTGTTGCCCTCATCTCAATTTTGCAAATTCCGATAGTCTGATTTAACCACGACTGCAGATCGTTCACCATTACAGGTGCGCAGTTTGGGAATGTGTCGCTTTTATGTGTGCCAACAACTCGCTTCCGAGTGACGGCGACCTTATGAATCGTTGTAACAACACACTCCTTAACCGACTGGGGGGGGGGGAAAGAGGCAAAAAGGAGGGACGCGGGCAAAAGCACTCTGGGGTGTTATCCAGTTGGGCCATTTCCTTTCCCGGGTGTTTTCCCCGTCGCTCCCAAAAGGGCTATTCCATTTAGGATCCCGCTTAGAGCCAACGATTCTCTCTCCTTTCGTGCAGCCGGGCCGCACCTGTGGGGAGCATTTCGGCGGAGACTTGTTATTCTGGGGAGCGCAGGGGCTGAGACGCGGAGCGGGAGCGAGGGGGGAGCAGAGAAGGAGGGCGATGTTGGAGAAGGTGCCCGGGGAGGAAAGCAAGACGAATTGCAAAGGCCTCCGCGAGCTGTGGAAACCTGGAGGGCGCTCTCTGTGCCAGGACTTCTCGGCTGTCGCCCAACAATCCCTGGAGTCAATCGTCCTGTGTAATGATGTTGTTGGGCAATGAGGC